AACCAACGTTTTCTGGACATTTACAGTAGGATGAATCACTCTTTCGTAGAATTCGAGCAAACACTTCGGGCTACGGCAGATATCATTAATACGGATTAATTACGAGGCAATAATAGCGACAAAAGAAAATTGCAGCGGCCTTTATTTCTAAGTACTATAAGGAATGAAATGCAGTATAAAAGGAACCGTTTCTTAATTTATTTTATTTTAAACTGAGCTGTGTATAGGTCACATGATGTCAGGTCACGTGACATCAAGTTTCCGGCCAAATTTACCAGGACAACTGAATTGGTGCAGGGATGTCGTGACGCCAATTTTCCCGCTAAATTTAGCGGGGAAACTGAATTCGTGTATGGGTCACGCGACATAAATTTCCCCGCTAGATCAAGCGGGAAATGCTTGGGCGGACGGACGGAAGGACAAAATTTGGGGATTGGGGGTAAGGTTAAAAGCATTTCACGCTTTAATAAATGCCCGTAGTAATATTTAATAAAATGATGGTTGTACGGCGCATTATTATAGAGCGTCAAATGAGGTACTTTGCTTGCAGCCCGGCTGCGGATATGATGTTAAGCTGGTCATTCCATTGCTCAGCTGCAAACAGTTAATAGCAGAAACAACTGGAATCAACTATAGATATAAAAGAGTAACTAAAAAAGCAGAGCGCGTGCAGTTGTCCTCTCTATATAAACATATAAAGGCTGCGTGATAAAATTCACGGATATGTTTATGACGCAACACACTATGCGGCATGTCTTCGTCTCGGATCCCCTGCCAAACCTTCTAGCAGATATGAGCATCCCCCCTCCCCCAAAATTACTCTCTCTCGCTCTCTCTCTCTCTCTCTTTCTCCCTACCTATTTCTTTTTCTTTTGAGCCGCACTCAACGGGAAGGAACTGAAGCGTCTTTGGTATGGTGGCCATAATACTCATAGCAGTAAGCGATACGTCGATGGGGGAACGGATGGGAGGAGGAGAGACAGAAAGTAAAACAGAACATGTTCTGCTACTATCGGCTCACAGTAAAAACGCCCACTTTTCAGGGATATTCGTTCGGTAGTTGAGTAAACAAGCATAGTTCTCACCAACTCTCCAAAACCGAAGCTTGCCAAATATAGTAGAAAAAAAAAATCACCGGTACACGCGTCTGTGTATACAAAACGTATTGGCGGATGGAACCAAAGAAAGAGCTCTAAATCGTGCTCTAGGGAGGTAACATTTCTGTAGTACACTCTGGAAAAAAAAAAAAGGTAACACCTTACACCTTTTTGTCCCATATAATGCACCCCAGAACTTTAGTTTAACGTACAGCGCACCAGAGTCGAACAGACTGCCCCAACATTTACGAGGGTCTTGATAACGGTGCGATATATTTTTTTAAATAGCTAAAGTACGCAACAAAGACCATAGAAAGAAAACCCTGAGGTTTTGCAGTAGGGTCAAGAAAACACCGATTATTATATATATATATATTTTTTTTTGTAGTCAGTAACACGCACATCCACTATTTTACTAAGTTGTAGCCCACGGCTATCAAGCCTCTCGTGAAAGTTAGTACCGTCAGATTGACGTCAGAGCGCTGTACGTCCGACTGAAGTTTTGGGGTGTCTCATATCGGACAAAGGGTGTAATAATACACCCATTTTTTAGAGTGTATAATTAGTTTTATAAAATGAATTTTTTTAGAGTGTATATTTAGTTTTAAAAAATGAATAAGCCTGAGTTAGTGCTGTCTTAGTCTCATTCGCCAACTCAACGTCTGACATCACGCTAATGCCTGATTCACACGGTGCGATTTTAATTGCGATTTTGATTGCGATTTCGCACTTGCACGTCAAGCACAGCAGCTGCCACCGCGCTTTTTTTTTTTTTGCCGCACGATTGACGTGGCATTGCGAAATCACAAGTATAAAATCGCATCATGTGAATAAGGCATGAGACATCAGAACGACATATAGCATGATTCGCTCTTTAAATTCATCGCGGAATTACTTTTTTTTTTCACAAACCTTGGTTGCCAGACAAAGCATGGAATGCCGGTTAAATTGTTAAAATGACTCAATAGTCACTATGCCATATATTTCCGAAAAGAGCGAGGGTTTTAGATGTGCACAATTGTGTACCTAGCGTTTAAAAGGGTTAAAGAACGGGTTACTGCAAATTACTGGTACCTACAGTTCCTTTCAACAGACCCATCTACTTACAATATAAACAATGAGCTGATCTATAAAAACTCGGCGTCAACTATTTTGTGCTGCAACGTACCTTTGACCGTGCTGCAGCCCGGCACTGCTGCAAGAGCATGTCTTTTGGTTTCGCCTCTCATTCGCAAAGGCTCATGCTAGTCGCTTTGGCTGCGTTGGAGCACACCGGAGTTCACGCTAGCCTTAATAACGGTAGTACAAAATAACTTACGCCGCGTAAATAAACAGCACTTAATGTACTTATTATTAATGAAACACAAATATAGCAAATCGCTAGGTCATTGTGTTACATACGTGAACTGTTCTGACATCACAAACGCTAACTGTTACTCTGAGTTTCCAAACGCCAAGCTCTTCATCAAATAGTTTAACGCGTACCACGTGTACACTTGATTGTTGTTCCCAAAATGAAGCGATATTGCCACTAATCGGGCTGATAATCGTGAAACTATTTCATCGGGCACCGCCACATTCGCACGTCAATGGCAGGTGAGAATTGATTCTTCGATCACCTGACAGTTCTTTCTTGGTTTGTTTCAGTTATCGATGGGAGAAACATTCACCAATACAAAGTAACGACCTATAAGCGCTTTGATTTCCGCAATCCAAAAGCTTTAGACCCTAATTCGAGTTTGATTGGTAGAGACATTCCGAAATAGACGCTTACGCAAACGTTGTACCCAATTTGTGCGTCATGTTGTACTGACAACTCGAACGTACAGATCTAATATATCCTCCGCATGGAAGTATCTTCAGCTTCTTTCTTTATCAGTCTCAAGAACGCCGCTATTACCTTAGCACAGGCCCCACACACTCAGATGACGACAGTGATGAAAGTTTCCAGTCTGAATTTTGAAAAAGGTCTATACAAAGGGTATTCATACTAAAGCGGAGCGGCGTAGTGTAGAGCATTGCCTCCAACGCATGGTTTTTCTTGATTGTTTTTTCTTCTGCAGTTAGCCAACTTTGCTATTTTCTACCCTCGCGCAACGCCGCGCCGAGTACTTACGCGAAATCCGAGACAACTTCATTTACAATACAAGTGCGCACTAATACGATGCTCGGTAACAATTATATTATACTACTCTCGTAAGAGGCTTGTTCTATAACTTCTGTAGAAAAGAAAAGTCGCCTGGCTTAGACATTTTATTAAAGGCAACAAAGTTGCGGTAGCACTTGATGCTGTTTTTAACGGGCAGCCCTTTGAAATACCTTCGGCTTTACCAGATTATTTTGCTAATACGCAGTTCGTGTTCTATATAATATGCAATTCCCGTTCCTAGGAAGCGGAGGGGAGGGGGAGACCTTACCGAAAAAACCAGTATAACCTTTCGCTAACTGAATCGTCTGCTAACTGGATCTCAGGTTTCCAGCGAGAAATCCAGTTAGATTTCCAGTTCCATAATCCAGTCAGCGAAGAGTTATACTGTTATTTTCGGTAGGGGAGAGAGAAGTGTTAGCGCACCATACTCTATGAAACGACGTTGAACTCACTTTCCTTCAGAACACAAAAACAGCACGCCACAACGTGCAATACAAGCCCCCCCCCCCCCCCCCCTCCTCTCCTCCACCCCCTCCGCAGGGATCTACGCCATTGGTCGCGTGCGCTATGACCTCAAGTCAATAGCTGCGCTGCGCTCCGTTGCTGACACTCTACAACATGGCCTTGCTACGGTGCGAGCATAGAGCCACCGCAGCTAAGCTACGCTTCAGGGGAACGACACATCCGCCATTTTGGTATTCTCTAATTTTGTACTTCAAAGCGCATAAACGTCTCACAATAGTAAGCACTCACTCAAACGCAGACACACAAACATACACACAGCGCTGACTCATAAATCTTTGTATTCTGTCTTCGTTTTCTTCTACTTCGTATTAACAGCGTCTCGTTACTTTAGTTCCCTGCCGCGTCTAACGGCGCCCTTTCAACGTATAAGTTTCCCATCAAGGAATCCTCGAACCAAATATTCGACAAGAAGATAGTTCACGAAATTGGAGGACAAAATTCAAGGACTAAAAAGATAAGTAGTTCGTGATTTGGTGATTCGAATCCAATAACGGACAGTAGAGAAGACCCGTTTCCAAATTGACAAAAACTCTCGTTTTTAAAATTTACAGTAATCAACGAAGTAAGGGTTACTTTTTTTATTTTTAAGTTACGGCCAGTTAACTTTTTTTTTTTGTCTCGAGCAATCGAGTAACCTAACTTAATACTTTTTAAGCAAGAGTAATGGACCTTTTCCGAGAAGCGTTCTGCGCACGCGCGAGCGCCCGATGCCAAGCGCCGGAAGTCGGAACGAAAAATCGAGGAAATTCGGAAGGAGGTTGTATATCAACCTCCTTTCGGAACACGTAACTGCAGCGTATATATAATTGTACTACACAAAAAAAGAACGTCGACGAAAAGGAAAACACGACATTTGGGTGGACGCCACGGATTTCCCTCTTTAAAGTCGCGCTGGGCACGCGCAGCTGCTCAGAAAGCGAAGAAACTGGTAGTGTAGCCTCCATAATCGATTGTCACTTCCTCGATTTTTAGTTCGTGCAGCCACCGCCTGGTGCCGTCGGTATGTGGAAAAGGTCCATTGTAATTGTAATCAATTACTTTTTACGAGCAGCGTGTACAAGACTGTCCCTACTACACTACCAATGTCGACTCGAGCAAGTAAAAGGTCTGTGCGGGATTCCCGCGTACAATGCTACACTACCAACACCGACACGAGCAAGTAAAAGCTCCGCACCAAGTTCCCGCGTAAAGCCATCGTTTTCAAGGCAGAGCCTAGGAGGATCACTGACCGTGGACGACGAGCAGCGCAGGTTCCGAGAACACCTTGCCCCGGGCGTTCCTGGCGATGCAGCGGTACGATCCCGAGTCGACGGTCTCGACGCGGTCCAGCACCAGGGCGCCGGACTTGAGCTGGCGGTAGGTGGAGCCGCCCTGGTTGCGGAGGCTGTGTCCGTCCTGCTGCCACAGCACCAGGGTGTCCGGGGACTCGACGGTGCACGGGAGCAGCACGCTGGAGCCTTCCGCCACCGTGCGGTTGCTGGGGCCCTCGAGGATCACGGGCTCTGCAGAGACAAAGAGAAGAAACCACATGTCAGATACAACCGTTAGTTCTGCATCCGACGCGATGACTGCCATACTTCTCAACGGAGCTATCTTTTTTTTTTTTTTTTGTTCAGTAAGATTCTGCGCATGAGTACGCTCTTTCCCTGGAACTTGCTTTCCGCTGTCGGCATCCTCGGAGGGCACCGTCCCCAACGACCAACATATTCAGCACCTGTCTTTGCGCGTATGTCGTCTTTTTTTTTACGATTGTTTTTTTTAAGTATCTCTAGTGTGGGGCGTACAATGCAATGAAAACTGATACAATCACGGTATGATGCCAATGTGCTCTGACGGGTTTCATTTATGTTAAATAAATGAGAAAAAGAAACATAATAGGATGGGTTGCCAAGCTTACATTGCTCTTGACAAATGTAGTGTTTTTTATGTTTTAAATTTTTTTTTAAACCCGCGAAAGCAGCATTTACGTTGTCTATGCGGGTAAGTTATACGGTCATGGGAACATAATACAGGGGGCTAATCGTCAAGATAAGTGAAATAATTAACTGAAACTTGTTTTTAAAGGGGTTATAATAAACATATGGTTCCAGTCAAAAACTTGCTGTGCATCATCGAAATCCACTAAATGAGTAAATTTTAGAAAGGTTTTGAGCGCGCGGGAAGCACGGATGCGCTCGGTCTTTCAAAAATGTACTGATTTCGTGGATTTGGATGATACCCAGCGAGTTTCTAACTGGAACCAGACGCTTATTTTCAGCGATGAAAAAGGTAACGAACAAACATTGGTTAATTACCCGACTTATTGTGACGGTTAGCTCCCTGTAATGTCGCTATTGCAGCTTTTTGTTTATTTATTTGTCTGTAAAGCCTAACAAATCACACCCTGTATGAAAAAAGACGGCGTTTCAGAGAAGACGCCAAGGCGAGCTGGATAAGGCGACCGCAGCGACGCCTATAGTCGCGCACGTCGCCAATAGATGGAGACGCCGGCTGCCGCCGGCTGGCCACTCTGATAAACACAAATATCAGTAAACAGTGGAAAACACTGGGCGACAGAATTCGCCCTTATAAGCCGCATCGCGAACGACCCGAACGGAGTCAACAAAAAAGAAGCAAGTAAAAAGCGGAAGAAAAAAAAACGTAATTGTGGTTGAATCGGGGTCAACACAAACAAGCTTCCACGTCCCAAAGTCAAGAGTGCCAATTAGGAGCCACGCCGCGCAGCAAAAAGAAACCCAAAACTGGCCAACAGCTTAATAGCGGGAACGGCTCTGCGCTATCTGGCTAGCTCGACTAATTACCGAGCAAACGTTTCAGGCCCCAAATAAGGAAGAAAAAAAAAAAAAAGGTCGATGGAAAGTACCAGTAGGGCGATGCGACTTTTCACGCTCAACCTCCCGCGTACACGCACTATTCTAGAAAAGCAACGGCTGAGAAAATATATAATCTATGGCACCGCATGCAAGCATACGGCACACTTTTGCCAATATGCTTCGTTTTAGCTCACGATGCAGTGCATGCAAAGGACGCCGTAACCATTAGAGCCAATCCTATGGCGTGTGAGTGTCACATGGCCACCGTAAAGGGCTCAGTGACGTCACAGTGCTGGATTGGCTGGGATTGGATTGAATGGGATGGCTCGTAACTCCGCCGGTTCATTGTAAGGTGAAAGGGAGTTTACGTATAAAGCAGCACACATTGATCTAAACACAGCGCACGCATGCCTGTACGTCTCTCTCTTTTACATACGCACATACTCTCTTTAGCAAACGTGAACGCATGATATCAGCACTCGCCAACCAACCCTCGCACAAACGACAGAGCAGTAGGAAGTAGCAACTGCCGCGCGCGCACGGACTTCGCGCTAACAATAACACCCGGGCGCCAACGCAAACGGCAACAGCGACGAAAACATTCCGCGGATCGTTGCCGGTGTATTCATCACGTCTCGCTAGCGTGCGCATGCCAGAAAACGACACGTCGTCAACAGAACCGCTTCGCCCGCTCTCTCTAACTGCCCCGTCACGAGCACGCGCGCAGCATCGCGAACGTCTGCGAAACGCTGATTATAATTACGCGAGCGTTCAGCGCTCCCTCCCTTATTGTTTTTTTTTTCTTCTCCCTTAATCAATCTTCTCTTCCTTCCCCACCCGCATCCTTTCCCTCTTTCGCACGCGTTAATTACGATCCCCATTTTGGTTCTTGGGGGAAAGATCCCGGCCAGCTCAGCGGTGCACTTGAGTAGAGGTCCGCGAGGTGGCGTTGGCGATGCGTGTTTCGGCAGGGTTTCTAGCGTGACGCGGCGGACGGAGCTGACGAAAGGGATGTCGTTTCCGAGTCGCAAATTATAGGGAATGAACGCGGGGAGGCGCTACTGTACTCCGCCACCCCTAAGCTGACAGTGCGGTGAACGCTACATGCTCGTTGGACCGTCTTTCGCCACGTGATCAGAATACGGCCCATGCCCACGAGCAGCGATTTTGGGGAAGGAGGGGAAAGGGGACTCCGTGAAAGGGAGGTGTCTGATTGGTCCCGCGAGAGTGTAGGTTCCACCGCACCGTTATCTTAGGGATGACCGGGGGGATAGGGGTCGTGTGTACGGGATATAGGGAACGAGAAAATGCGCAGGTTCCCGTTTTCTGGCGGGAAGTGTATCCAGAAAAAGGGTTACAAGGAAAAGAAGTAGAGGAAAAAGAAAAGGTAGCGAAACGAAAAAAAAATTATAGCTTGATCGTGCTGGCAAAGACCAGCACGCACAAAATGAGTCGAGCGCAAACTACCATCCCGCAGATCAGACTTCGAAAAGACTGAAGTCACGTGACTCGACGTCACGTCACTTCATGTCACGTAGCGTGGTCACGTGACGTCATTTCCTCGCTAAATGTAGCCGGGAGATTCACGCCGCGTGACTTCAGGTCTAGTGAAGTCGTGTAACGCTTAATTGTCCATGACGCTCATTCATGACGACTTTCTAGAAAACGACAGACAAAAACCATTCTGTGTTAAAACAAAAAAAGAGGTAGAGTGAGGTAAATGAGTGAATGGTGAGTATGTTAGCTACACGCTCACCATCCTGAGTTCCTTAAACAAAGGAATATTTGGCAACACCTCACTGATGGCAATGCCTCTATGCTGGAGTTTCTACGTCATCTAAGGGAGGCCAGCGGGGGGTTCCTATTGGTCACGAGTGCTTTGTCGGCGTTCGGCTGGGACTCGAGCCTCTTTCTGATTGGACACGAGTCCCAGCCGAACGCCGACGGAGCACTCGCGACCAATCAGTGCTTTGCGCTTGCCTCCCATAGATGACACGCAAAATGTATCACATCGGCCTTGCTTTACTGTTCTCGTATTTTGGGTGCTCGCCAATCTTTTTTTAACAGCTTTTCTTTACCGTGTCCTTCACCAACATTTTGTTTTTAACACTAGGTGATATTACTATTTTATATTGTCTAAAAGGAGTTGCATAGAGAATTTTCTAACCTTTCTCTTTCACTTTCTCCCATCTTTATTCGGTTGAGGTCATCGTTTTTCTTAGATGCAGATAGCTATGGTAGCTATCAACTCTTCGCACAAAAAAAATCTGGATAAAAAAAAATAATACTGTTTACAAAACTTTCTCCTGTGTTCCGCAAACCTCTCGCCTTCAAGGACACTGCTGGCAAACGCACTCGCCAGGCGCACACGTCCGCGAAATACTACCATTTAATTTCCGAATAGGCACGTAGCTCCTAACGTTATCACCGTTGAACAAAAATCCCGCCAAGCTAACCAGACACCCACACGACCCACACGTGCGCCAAGTTACGAGGACCGCAAATCGAGAAAGGCTTTTGAAAGCGCCGAAGCGAGGCAATAAAGGGAACAGCTTTCTTCGCCAGAAGTCTCATAAAACTCCAGCCATAGCACAACCGTCCAGACAAACAGCGGCCCCTAAGGACAACAACGAAATAAACAACCACTGGCAACAACCAATAAAGCGAAGGGAAATCCATCAACGCAACTCGCAACAGCGCCCGCTAGCGGCCACCACGTCAGAACAGCAAGCTCGAGTGTTATTTCAGGCAACAAGCTCCGTTCCTGAGTAGCGACCAAGGTAAGCAGAGAGCTGACCGCACTCAAGCTAATAGCGAAGTCGCGGCCGCCTACGTCCAAGGCAAGGCTCCGGGGACCCCATATATAAGTCAGAGGACTCGTTTTCACTTTTTTTTCCCCCCTGTTTGGGCGACTTTCTCTAACGGTGGTTTCACGACGTGTTCACGTCAGAATCCAGACGGGGAAATCCTTTCGTGCCACGTTTTTTCGTTCATTATTATTATTATTATTTATTCATTTTTACTTTCTGGCTTAAGGAGTTTATGCTGCGGTGGCAAAAAAGGTAGGAATCTTTCGCGAAAAAACGAACTGCTGGAATGTAGACAGTACTCGAGTTGGCATCAGCCGTCAGATGTTTTGGAGCACTTGTCAGACGTACTTTTAAGTACCTGTAATAAAGCGTTTATTGTGAATTAGTTGATTTTTGCGGAAACACATTTAAAGACGGCCTGAGAGTAAAATATATATAGAGAGAGAGATTTGCACCTTCTGGTTTGAACACACAGAGCGTTGCAGGGTTGGCTTCCACGACAGGAGCCGGTAAATTTAGCTAAATTTAATGTCCCTACTAATTAAGTACCTTTAATTATTAATGATAATTAATCGATCGGGAGGAGAAAAACACGTAACCTTCCATGGCATACTCTGCGCCTCACAACTTTATTGATAGATTCAGGAATATTGTTTTCCTTTTTTTTTTATCACTTCCTGTGGACAGTCATCCGCAGAAAGTCACTCGACAGATATCGGGCGAACGGAGATCCACGTCTTGTTAAATCAGTATGGGACGCTTAATTTGGTTCCCAGGCTCCGTTTCACACAGCCGAACCCTCTCGTCGTCACTTTTAAACTCGAAACCGTCCAAGTCCCTGTAAACAGAGCTTGTCTAAACTTCGGAAGGGAGGGGAAA